TAAATGACATCATTTATTTTTTTCTTGATGAGGTACGGGCCTTCCCAAGACCTTTGAAGCTTTGGATAATAACTCTTTTGTCTTTTTGAGTTATGAAGCCAGACTTTATCGCCTTCCTTGAAACATCCTTCTGTGGCTTGGATATCGTATCGCTTCTTTATTCTGTCACTGGCGATTTGAAGATGCGAGCGGACCAATTCATGCATATCGTCCATTCTTCTTCCTAACTGGATTACATAATCTTCACCAGCTACATCTTCTCCAGGTCGGCATCCAAACTCGAGGTCGCACGGAAGATCTCACGCCCAAACAGGACCTTTGCTGGTGTTTGGCCTGTTGATTCATTGACAGTGAATCTATAAGCCATTGCAAAGAGCGAAATATACTGATCCCAATCTCGCTGATGGTTTGAAACCACTTTTGGCAGATATTTTTCAATGGTCTTATTCATTCGCTCTACCATTCCATCAGATTGTGGGTGCAATGCTGTGGTTCGGGTTTTCTTCATGCCCAGTCTGTCGCAGATTCCACGGAAGAGTTGGCTTTCAAAATTTCTGCCTTGGTCACTGTGGATCTCCAAGGGCACTCCAAATCGACAAATAAACTCTCTTATCAACACATCTGTAACAGTTGCTGCCTCTTGATTTGGAATGGCGTAGACTTCCACCCACTTCGTGAAATAATCCATAACCACTATCATGTATTTATTATCATTTTCGGTCATGGAGAATGGTCCAGCATATCTAAGGCGATCCTCTTAAATGGGCTACCAACGTTGTATTGCTTCATGGGAGCCTTCCTTTTTCGCTGAGGTCCATTAGCTAGTACATTTCTTACACCAGTCCTTTACATCATCGGAACTGTTCATCCAATAAAACCTTTCCCGAATTCTCTGAAGGGTTTTCCTAACACCGAGATGTCCTCCTGATGGACTGTCGTGTAACTGATGAAGTATTTCGGCTATTCTACTCTTTGAAACGACCAACTGCCTTCTATTCTCATCATTTTCAAGTTCTCGTTTTAATAAGCCATCTTCCAGGATAAAGGAGTCCCACTGAGCCAAATACGACTGGAGAGAGATTAGATACTTCTTGCCAAGTAGGTAGACGATTTTCCTCTTTCCATTGTCGCATCTTCTTGAGAACGGTATCATTCTCTTGTTCTTCCCTAATTTTAGCAGGGGCCCACTCATCGTTGACTACCGTTGTTCTTAGTAGTCCACTTTCTTTGGATTCCGCTTTGTTGCAGTGGGAGCACTCTGCTGGACACGGTCTTCTAGAAAGAGAATCGGCATTTCTGTGACTTATTCCGGCTCTATGTTCGATCTTAAAGTCGTACTCTTGAAGTCGTTCAATCCATCTGGCCATTTGACCCTCCGGGTTTTTGAACTGCATCAACCACTTAAGAGCAGCATGATCGGTACGGATTAAGAATTTCCTCCCATATATATATAGGTATTAATAGAAGTGTCCCACGCATTTAACAACTGCCAGGAGCTCTCTTCTCGTGACGCAGTAATTTCGCTCAGGTTTCGAGAGCACTTTACTAAAATAACCCAGTACTCGTTCTTTTCCCCCTTGAATCTGTGAAAGCACTCCTCCAATTCCCACATTACTGGCATCAGTATCCAGGATAAATTCTCCCTCTGGTAGTGGATAGCCTAATATTGGCGCTGTTGTTAAATGCTTCTTTAAAGTTTCGAAGGCAGTTTGGCAGTCTTCTCCCAGCAGAATTCTCTTGCTTCTTCTGTGAGTCGCTTTAGTGGTTTAGCAGACTTCCAAGGTCGCGCTTACACAGGGTAGGCTTTAGGAATTTCATGACATTATTATTTTGTTTTGGAATTGTTGCAAGCTTCTCCGATTAACTAATACACCATAAAATTTGCTTATATTCTGTCTTACATTTTTTTCATAAACGTTAAATAATAATTATATTTACTAATTATTATAGACAAAAATATATTTATTTTCTAGCATAGGGTAGGTACAAATACCAGTTTCAAAATCTGTTAAAGAAAACGACTTGTATAGGAACCGAGATATTTGATTGCGACTATTTTCTTCTTGGGGTTGAAAAACACCCTATTTGATCTTGCAAATCGTTCTCTTTTAGACATGTTAAAGTGGTATTTATACCAAACTTATGCTAGAAAAAAATATGTTTCTAGGAGCGGAGGTATTTGATTCCTATTAAATAATCGGAAAATTGTACGTTTTTCGTTTTGGTTTTATAAAATGAGATCGACTTTCGTTTTTACAGTTCAGTTACCAGAATGCAACCAATTTTTTTCTGAACTACAAATTAAATAGAGAAAAGAATAACAAATTGGCAATGGATTGATTTGAGTTCAACCTGTAAAATACTTTTTCATCCCAAATACTTAAAATTTTTCTTAAAATGTATTCAGTGAAATACCTCATATATCAGCTCTCCAGAAACCTATAGGACATCGGGTATATAATATATACAATATCATTCTCTCTACATTGTAAAAGGGAAGTGTATGTATATAATTATAGTTAATTTCTCATTAAATAAAATTACCGTTTGTTTAAAAAGAGTAAATAATCAGATACATATTTAAGTAGATCGCTTGAGGAGGATAATATCGGTAAAAACAAATCTAGAAAAGTAAGTATAATCAATACAAAATGTATTGGTTATGTATGTAATCGCTGAAAGTTAAATATATCAAACATATATTTTAAATCGTCTTAAACATTTATTTAGAAAGAAAATTAGAAATGCATTTATGACAGTAGTAGGGCACTTTTACTATCTAAATGATTATCAGTAGAAACCACTAAAAATATTATGATGTTTTTAATATTTTTATTCTAAATTATATGTTCATGATCTATAAAATAAATATTTCGAATGGTGCACAACCCGTGGAAATAAAAGACTATTTTTAGTTTTCAACTCTAAACAGTAGTTATTTTGATATTTTGGGTTGTTTAAGTCTAATTTGTTTATGAAAAACGTGACTGCCTTACAAAACCAATTGATATTCATAAGGCTGTTTACTTAAAGTTTCGTGTTCCTTTTAACATTATACTATACCATACTTCGATTTTATAGTAATAAAACTCTCTTTAAAATAACAAATATCACTGCTCATAAAGAACAGATGTTATACATAAAAAATCTAAACACAGAATAGGGAAATGCTATAATAATTTAGGAAAAAATATAATGCGGCAGAGGCGCAGTGTCATAAAACTCGTCTGGTTTTTTGGGAATTTAAAATATAATTAATAAATACAGTTTCAAAATTAAACTTTAAATTATCAAGGAGTGTTTTTTCTGACTTTCAGCACGTAATTTGACACGTGCTTACTAGATTAGAAGTACATGCTTTTCTTTCATTTTATTTCCATAAAAGATTTTTACTTTCTTAACTAAAAATCAACAGAGAATTAAGAAAAAATAATAAAAAAAATTAAAAATGTTCCAGTGCAGTAAAAAATAGGAAACAAAATTGCCACTAACCTTGAATAGCGCGCCACTGGTTAAATTTTTTAGAAGTTAGTTTTCTTCTTAAAGAGCATATAAGTCACCAAATTTGAAAAAATATTTTGATGTGGCGAATTTTAAATTTTGATTTCAAACTTTTAACACTTTGTATCTTGGTAACTAAGCCCTTTAAAAGCCCATGTTCTCATATCAAAATTCATTAATTAACGAGAGCTGTGTAGGATAAAAAGTTAGTCTGTATAAATGCCACAAAAATAAAAATATTTGAAAATTACACTTATTTTTAAATGGTAACTTAAATTAGGAATTGTTGCTGTATATAATTTTCCTATATTGGATTATTTGTCCTAGGCTTGTAAAAATTTCATTAAACCTTGAATAAATATCACCGGTATCATTAAATGAGCGCATAGCTGTTCGAATCTGACAACTCATTTATTTGTATCAAAATATTAATACACTTTAAACTTTTTAATTTTTATAAAGCTCGTAAAATGTATATTTGCCTTATTGTTTTATTTTAGTGTCCCCGTAGAGTTGAACTTACGCGTGCACCCGGTCTGCACTCAAAAATGTCACACGTGTTGATAAATGCCATGTGCCACATGTGTTAGACACGTGGAAGAAGTCCAACAAGGACTATATGTCAAGTAGTTTTCTTATCATAAACCTTAAATCAGGGGGAAATAAAATTAAGTGTTTTTTATTTTAATGAGGATCAAATATAAATACTTACTGTAAAAGACATTATTTTATTAAATTATCTTTCTTTTTTTGGGTTTACTTTTTTATCTGTTCGTTATATAATATTGTTAAAAAGTCCTTGATCAATAAAGTAATACAGTATGAAAAGCTTTTGTGTTTAAAATCAATAAAAGAAGAAAAATCAATTTTCGTGGAATATTGATTTTTCATAACAAGAGCATCTAAGTACCTATTTTTCAAAAATAACGCTAATGTGAGGTTATTTATAATATAGGTAGGATAGTATTAGGTAGTAATTGATAAGGTTATTTTTTATTTATAAGTAGTGTTGTTTTCAAGAAAACTTGGTTGTCATTCATAGAACCTGCTCAATATACACAACGAAATGGATACTTACTTCTAAAAAATATATAGGTACTCATAATAAATTTTGAATTAGAAGTTATTTTTTTAATTATCCTAAATTCACTTTTAATATTTTAATTTTCTAAAAACAGTTAGTATTAAACTATAATCAATATATTGTAAATGTGTTTGGAATTCTAAATACAAAGCAAAACTGGTATTTTCCTGTATAAACTAAATGAATTGTGTTTGCAACTAACAGTAGCTCCAGGTAGGCGGATGGGTACTAGTATTGTGTATCTCTCAACTGTATGAATATCGTGGCAATATTTTTTCTGAGTTGTAGCATATCAGTAGCGTACTTCAAAAACTGTTTATTTGTAATTACCACTTATAATTATAGCCCACTAGTGATGAAGTACCCAGAACATGCATAACGGTAAGCAATAATATAAAATATTCTTGTCTTTCAGAATTCATGACGCGTGATCTCGTCCTAATTCGAGCATACCTGAAATTAGGGATGAGGCGGCAAGACATAGTAATAGCTTCTAGTTACTTCGCCAGAGATGGGCATGTACCACCCCCGGAAGTATCGAGGCTAGTGGAGTACTGCCAGAGAAGACATCTGCCATTACTTCTTGGATGCGACGCCAACGAGCACAGCACCGTATGGGGAAGCAACAACACCAATCACAGAGGTGAGCAAGTTTTAAAATATATTTTTAATAAGAGCCTTGTGTAAAATATTGGAAATACTCCAACATTTGTAACAAGGACAAAAAGTGAGATATTAGACATCACATTAAGCACACCTAGTATTAAAGATCTAGTTACAAACTGAAAAATATCGAGTGAACCATCTCTATCTGATCACAAGATAATTGTGTTTACGTTAGAGAGCGACATTCCTAAGACGATCCTCAGGAGGAATCCTAGAAAAACAGACTGGGACAAATACAACACCATTCTAAAACAAAATTTAGCACGTATCCAGACACAAAAGGGGCCCAGGCACCCACTTGCTCTGGAAAGCGATCTCGAACAACTAAATGGGGCAATACTTGAGGCATATGAATCAAGTTGCCCCATTCAAAGAAAAAGAACTAGTAGGGATGCTCATCTGTCAAACTTAGGGATCCTTACCGGGCATTGCCGACTAAAAGGACACCTCAGTAAACTGAGAGTGGTAGAGGATAGTGAGTGCAGATTCTGTGAGGAGGAGGACGAAACCTCCATTCACATTCTTACTGAATATGTAGCACTCCAGAACGCAAAGGAGGATATCAAATAGAAGAGGGAGATTTACCTAACTTGAAGTTATTCCAAATCCTACACTTCCTTGAGAAAATAGGATTGGAAGGGTCGTTATAGGCATTGAGACATTTCCTTGGTGCATTAGCGACAGAAGGGGGCACAATAGATATTTTAGGTCGCAGGGTATTAACACCCCATTCCCAACATATCATAACATAGCCCGTAGTTTTAGTGAACATCAAACAATGATCCGTATTATACAAACTACCAATTTTTATCGTTCTTGCATGCCACTCAGCTACGTCTACAACACTGCCACTTTTATATTTTTAAAGGGGGAGTAGTAGTAGGTAAATACTATGAGGCAATCCACCCCCCTCCTCCTTACAGATATAGATAAATGTCCTAGATAACTACTCACTATCCTGAATTAAATCGAAACTGATACTTAAAAAGAAAAATAATTGTACTCTCCTATTCGAGAAACACTCTTTGTGGACCACTCCATATTTAAAAATAAAATGAATATTATCAATACTAGTTAAAAATGTTAAACACTAACTGGAAATAAACAGGCTCATCTTAATATTCTTGTTAAATAAAAATCAAAATGAGTTGCCCTAGTATACATGTACAGTTATTTTTTTTGCGGTACACGTAAATAGAGATTACCCGTACGTACTGATTACGGTAGCGCGGGGAAGCGAGATGGAGAGGTAGGTATATATCTATCGAGTAGCCTTGCGATTAAGATGATATGGTTCACTTCCTGAAGTATGTTCATGATTAGCACCATACACATAACGGATTATCAAACACCTGTGATTAGAGACATAGATAATTTCAAAACAGATATGAATATGTCCGTTTCATTCCTTCATTTTCTTTTTGGTTATCGCTGAGATTCTTTCTTTAAACAAGAATCGATACTCTAGGTCCTTAAGGCTATTCTAACGAAAAAATAAAAACCCGTTCAATGCGGAAATCATTTCTTTCGATATCGAAAATATTTGGCTGATTTATGTGAGGCAGCAAATGAAAGTTTGAAAGAAAAAATACTGTGCTTGGAATTAAAAAGAATTTGCTTTTGTACGCCATTACTGGGCACAAAAGACGGGTAGTAACGAACCGTCGAAAAAATTAAATTTAAATGTTTTGGATTGTTAATTTAACCACTTCCACAGAATAACATTTATTGTTTGACATTTTCATTGTAAACAATGTTAATTATCTCAATATGACACTGTCTAGGGCAAGATAGTAAGTAGGATTTTCAGATTAAATTTTAAGAGAAATAACTTAACTATCGTTTAAACTAGAAAGAGGTAGTTTGCATAGTTGAATTTCTTTTTAAAGGCTCTACAAACTGGTTTTTACTAATTCATGCTAGGTTGTCTGTAAGGCAAGATAATAGGATTTTCAGATTAAATTGTAAGAGAAAAATGTTTTTGTTAAATAACTTGACTATCGTTTCAACTAGGAAGAGGTGGTTTGCATCATTAAATGTTTCTTTAAAAGCTGTGCAAAATGGTTTTTAAAAAGTCTAAGTTGTTCGTAAGGCCAGAAAATAGGATTTTCAGATCAAATTTGGGGAAATTTTAACAGAAATAAGTGTTTTTGTTAAATAACTTGACTATCGTTTAAACTAGGAATAAGTGGTTTACATTGTTGAATTTCTGTTTAAAATTTTTACAAACTGATTTTTCGTAGTGTCATCTGCGATTAGACCTACATGCAATGTTAGGTTGTCATTTATATAAAGAAGGAATAAAATGGGGCTCAACACAGTTCCCTGAGAGTGAGAGACATATCTAAAACTTAGTAGTTCTTATACCATTTGCTTATTTTCTTATCATTGACACAATCAAACGCCTTAATCAAACCACAGAAACTTTATTAAAATTAATTTTAGAATTAGCAAGTTCAAGGTAAGAAAATATCGTAATAAAATACAAGCAGGCGGAGGACCGATCCAGTCCTATAGGCAACCAATTATGCGCATGCGTTGTATTGCCGCTGAACATCGCAAAGTTGTGCCATTTTTTATTAGGTCGGCAAGATCGTGTATCGTTCCACTGGTGGAGAGAATGAATTGGTATTGAAAAAACGTATTTCAGCGATAATGGACTCAAAAATATATAACAACTAGAATATAAAAAAATGAATTGATCTTGCGTGTTTCCTTTTCTTACCAGAAATATTACATACCTACATATTCTCCCCTTGTATATCGTGATATGCCTTAATTAAACGAAAAAGCCCTACAATTTTTAACTTGAATAAAATAAATTAGTTAGGTATACCAGATAGGTAGTTGCGTCGAGTTCCAGCACCGATTTCTAACAGGTTCTAATAATAAGAATAATAATTTTGATTGAAACAAGCTGTCACGTATCTTAACAATCAGATGCCAGATTATTTAGCTTAAAATTATTACAAAGCTCGGAGCGTAAAGAAACAAGTTAAACATTACATTTTCTACGTTTGTATACTCTTATATAATCCATTTAATAAGAATTATTATGCGAGCATGTGTTTTTGCTAATTAGAAATGCAAAACAGAAATAAATGTCAATAGGTATACTATACATAGAAAGCGAGAACACAACATGGGTTGGTTGGCTACGTTGTCTCTATACTTATCATATCTATTTCTCATTTGCAGATATTATAATATCATGGTTTATAACAGATAATTAAAAACACATAATGTAGGTTACGTACTATCTTGAAGACGTTAATTTGGATTTATTTAAGGACTCAAACAGGTTTTATAAACAAGAAAAACGAACAAAATGATCTTCGTGGTAACCAATAATTAGGCCTGATTTTTATTTTAAATCGAGAGTAGTATTAACTTTAGAGGCAGACCTATATTGTTTTAGTAATTACCCTGCATTAGGATCGGACTGCCATAATAATAATAACATAGAAAATTTAGTGCGGAAGTAAATAACACTAACTTAATGTGTGTACCATATATTATGAAGAACACAATAAGATAATTTCTGTGTGTTGTGTAATTATTTTAATACTACATTGATATTAAGTGAGGTCGACAAAACACTCGTTCTCTCCTTAAGACGACGTCCCAGAAACGGTCAAGTAGACAACAATAAGTATACCTTACCGTCTCATACAATCTTTCAAAATCTACTATTACTATATTATGTATATTATCCACTTATGGCCTTTCCGTTTCCTTATAACAAAGAAAATATTTTTATACCTGTGTATGTGCAAAGTACTAGCCAGTTTTCATTTCACAAAAACATAAAATTGTATATCAAACGGAAAGTTTAAAAATGGTATTCACCTATTTCGAAGTTTCGCCCCTTCAGCACCAACCTAATTAAACCGCAACCCCTACTTTGTGATACATCAAATTAAAGCATAAAAAAAATGTAATCCAACCGTTTTATAAAAAATCTATTATAATATATATTTCATGTAACATTAAATAAACTGAAACAAAGTTAAGTATTTACCAAAAGAATGAAAATGTATTTTCAAGAGTGGGCTCTATTATTCTGTAAACAATGATATTAACCTTTTTTTCAAATTCTTGTCGAACTTTCTGCCACGTTTCCTTGGTAATTCTTCTACATTCTTTAGTTCTAGAATGTCTTTGGGAGAAATTTTATAAACCAATGTTTTCAAATAACTACACAGAAAAAAGCAAGTGGTGTTAGATCTTGAGATCTTGGCGGCCATTCTACAAAACTCCTAAAAATCTAATGCCTCGGATATTGTTTGTTTAGTCATTGACTTACTGGTATTGCATAATGTGGTGTAGCTCCATCCTATCGAAGATGTATATCTATTTTATTTATCTAGCACCATGTTTCCCTGTTTATCGACATGTCTTTCTAAAGAGTAATAAATTGATTAATTTCATCTTATAATTGAAGGTACAATTATCCCGTCAGATTTTTCTTCATAAAAATTGATCTAATTATCTCATTTCCAAGAATACTACCCCGAATACTACATTCGCAGTTGAAACAAGTGAGGATTTTCAATGTTCCAGTACCTACAGTTATGTTTATTAGATTAAATTAGATTGGGAGTTTTACGTTGTTTGTCCTTGTCCATCGCGACCTTTTCAGATCTGTTGTGAAACTCCGTTTGTTTTAGAGTATGTCGTCTAGCTTGGTCTTTTTTATTAGACTTAGTAGCTTTGACGCATGTAGTTGCATGCGTTTGGTTTTTCTTCGCCCATTGTTAGAAATCTCATTCCAGCCAGGCCTTTACATTGGCACAGGACGTGGAATGATGTTTCCTCTTCTTCTTCACAGAACCTGCACAAAGTTGCTTCTTCTGCTGGATTAATGATTAATGCCTTTTAAGGCGACAGTATCCAGTAAGAAGGCCTACTGTTATCCTAATGATTTGACTCTTTTGATCCAGTAGGTCTTTTGTAAACTTAGCCGATGGTTCTTTGATGGCCTGTCTCAGTCTTGAATAGTTATTCCACCATTCCTAAGTCTCTTTTTGCATCCATTATTTAATGGATGCCTTGCACAATGCCTTAGCAACTCCACAGAAGGGTTCGGGGTCTGTCATGGCCTTATCTGAGCCTTCTCGGGCTTACTCGTCAGCCTTCTCGTTGCCCTGATATCCCTCATGGCCTGGTACCCAGGCTAGCATCTCCTTGTTTTGACTACTTAACTGTGCCAGGTCTTCAAGACAGTCTTTCACCAGTCGTGATTCGATTTCTGGTGGGAGAATTGCCTTTAGAGCTTTTTGGTTGATTCATTGGCATATTGTAACTGGAATGCTTCTCTTTTCTAGAGACTTGGTTATTGACCTGGTTGAGGCATTGTTGAAAGCTCCTTCGATATCTAACAAAGTGGCTATTGCGATTTCTTTATCTATTGACTTTGAAAGCAGCCTGTTTAGATCGTCCAGCGATAAGTCAGTTGACTTTCCTGACTGGTATGCATATTGGTTAGGATGGAGCGGATTTATGTTTATTAACAAATTCATTATATAAAATTTTGTATCTTTTAAAACATTATTTCCCAAAATTCAACTCCGTGGTCCTAGTCGTCTTCACTGAACTGTTCAATTTGATTTTTGTAAGGGAAAAACTTATTCAATTTTAACACTTTGTATATGGAACCATTGAAAACATTTATAAGTTAAGATACTTTTGGTATGAAATAGGTAGGATCTATAACAAAATGACTAAGTACTTCAATTTGTGCTTCTTGGTCGCTAACACTGGGATGTTAATTTTTTTATTATAAACAGATCCAGTCTCTCAAATTTCCATACTAAATCAGCCCTTTTCTTATATTCGCTTAGGGTACCGAGTGGTACCTCATTTGAAAAATCTTTTGACATTTTAAATCTTTATCTAACCTTCGATTTTATCGATGTCACTGAATATTTAAACTGGCTACAAAAAGTAAAACTGACAAAAGATAGTACTTTTTTGAATCGATTTGGTTATTTTTGGTATTCAGTGGTTATTACTATTTTTTTCACAACTAATAATAAAAGCATATAAATTATAATTTTACAAGTTGAATTAATGTTTGTGATGAAATCAATATCGATAATCCGTGCAACAAATGGGCCGAATAAAAAACGATTTAAGTGTGCTCGCAAATACGGACCTGATGAAGTCGAGGAAGCGATCCCGATGTATAGAGTCGCGAGCCAAACGCGCGCTACGTCCAGTCTAGTGTTGCACTCGGTGTCCTTGAACGATGGCGCGTATGGGTCCCACTTGCACTTTCCTGCAAAAACCGGAGCTCAATCGCTTCAGGACGAGAAACCCATCTTAAGCGAAGAAAGAACGACTCTCTTACATTTTACTCGGTTGCCAATTCTCAACAGATGTTACTCAATTCGGATATAACGAATATGTTTTCAATTTTTTAATCCTCTTGATACGATAGAAAATTTTAATAGAAGATAGTTTTAAAGAAGAGAACGATGATAATTTGAAGTATGTTACAGAGGCTATTTCAGAACAAAGAACTTCTGAAATAGTAAAAGTTGAGCATAGTAATTTGAAAAATGTTGCTGAAGATACTACATAACTACTGTGGAATTGATTCTGTGTTTTTTGGTACTATACATAACTAGGAACAAAAAAAAATCTAAATTTAAAAGATAGAAATAAGACTTTTTCATTCAGTTGCGAATTAAAAATGGAAATTGCTATGTATGAAGAATTGGCTCAATACTGGGAAATAAAACATGAAAGATTGCTTCCCAGGCGTAAATATCAAGAAATGCTTCATCCATTTAGCTCAAAATTTGAAGAGACACGTCGCATTTTTGAGACATGTAAGGGGGTATAACAACAACTCACAATTTGTCCTAAGCTACAGGATGATAACATCCTTGGCATTCGTTGCACTTCTACATTTGGATGAGGCCATTTTTGTTTTGGGGAATGCTTTACCCGTGGAGCTCCAGGTTCTGATGGATTGCATAGATGCATAAGATCTAGCAGTACAAATTAAGTAATTATTACTTATGATATGCTCAAATTAGAAAAAAATTACCAACAAAAAGATAAGTTTTTAGAGATACGTATGATCTCTTTGTATCAGTGTTTTATACAAATCTACCTTTTCGACGTTAACTATAATATAGAATATAGAATCATTGGCTCTAAAAAAAATGATAGCTCTTGTGTTTGTTGCATTTTAAAGGATGTTAACGCAGAAAATAATTATCGATAAAGTGCTAATTCCAAGTCTTCAACTAGGTATACTTAATACATCTATTATGTTCTCGTTTTTTCTTTTAATTATATTTGTGATTTTCTATTAATATATTTGGAAGCGTGTTACTTAATTATAAAAATTTATAACGTCCCACCTATAACGTTGTGCCCTATTTTGAATTTTAGATGCACTACTGTTGTAATAATTAAACGATGTAAACGATTTACCTTTATTAAGGCTTTACACTATTAATATAAATCAGCATAAAACTATTAAATATAAATCAACTTGACAACTACCCTAACTACTTGACAATTTATATCAAATACGGTCCCAAATATAGTGAATTGAAATAATAAAACTTAAAAATTAGTTCTGCCTACGGCCCTGTGTTCATATCAAGTATCTAATGAATAATCAGTTTTATTGCTGTTAGCACTAAATATGTAGGTTTATAAAATAATAAAAAATATGTTATTGTGCTATAAAAAATTGGTGATGGTGTAGACGAAGAAAAATGGCGGGAACTGGTGCGATGCTGCAAGAACTTTTTAGTTTTTGTTGCGGCAACATTGGGTGGTAAATATTACCATTACCAGACCGGCTAAGGATCGTCGTTACCCTGCCAGCAGAGCTTTGACTCGGCTTGGACCTAGACGAGACTCCCTGATTCTCGACCATCTTTGCTGCCGTGCAACGCGACAGACACGGAGTAGGCGGAGACAGTCAGAGTTGTTGACCTCAGGTCAACGCAAACCAAGCTCATGCTCTTTTATACACTTTTTATATTTTACTCACTCTCCTTTATTAGACTTTTATATTTGTTTGGCTAATAGGCTTTAGACGAGCGTATATAATTTACACGAAATTGAGATAGGTATAGGTACGTGATATTTAAGACACTCAAAAAATTATTAAATTAATAATTTGATATTTTTAAATCAGCAACAGAAATGTCTGCAAACGTTTCATTTGCCAGTTTATGTTCCTTCAAACATTTTACTAGTTCACATAAAGCAATAAATGAAAATGCCGCGATAGGTATCTTTAATATCAGAAAAAAAAATGATTTAAATACCTAGTTAAATATTAACTTATTATCGAGTATTTCCCCACTCTACTTTGGATTATCCACTGACATTGACGACATACAATACCTATACTAAAACTCATTCTAATCCAGTGCACTCCATAATTTTATAAAAAAAAATTAACAGCACAATTAGACTAAGATTTGATGGATTAATTTTCAAATTTTGAAAATAATTACGCAATGTTTGATAATTCTATTTACTAAATTATTTAAAAGTGTGTGTATTAGTATAAGTAAAATGTGTTGAAAACACGCCTAATGATTAGTTTTATATTATAAATTATAATAATATTTCGCCAGTTGTTCACAAGTATACCCACATGTTCAATGTGTAAACAATACAGCTTGAGGATTAAAATTACTAGGTCAGAAGTGTTTACTCTAGAAACCAACCCAGTCCTTTTTTATATCGTTTTCTTGAAGTTGTTGATCTTGCAAGATCAACAATATACATAATACACAGAAAGGATTTCACAATGCTTCCTTGTTAAGCAAGTTTATTTATTAGAAAACTATACGAACGCCTTTTTGACTAAAAATTTCGATTTCTGTGTTAAATGATTTAAATTTAAATTTATTTTATCGAGAATTTTGTGTTTTTTTTATTCAAAATACCAATAATTCTGCCAATAAGGAAAATATCCGACATAGACTAGATGATACCTATAAAAAAAAGGCCCCCAGTAGGACTAAGTCGCTGTTCGATCTTTAGGTCAATATTTTGGGTAGATCAATCCCCGTCTCATCTCCCTAGACTGTTTCTCTATTTTTATATATCCCGTACTTTTTTTATATATACTTGCATATTTTTTTATATATACTTGCATATTTTTTTATTAAATCAAACTTTAAAAATTCTTCGTTTCTTTCGTTACAGATTCAAAAGTAATCAAAGGAGAACACTTCAAACCTAGGTTAAAGCCTAAGACGTATTTTATCTATGCCCAGAGATGTCTTTGATATTAGATGATGACAAATTAGTTGAAAAACTCAGGAGTTTCTTGACTGATTTTCTAGTGGTAAGTTTTACTGTTGTCTAGAAATAAATATATTGGCAGTTAATGGCCTATTGAGGGGAAGTTACCGGAAAATTGCAAACCTTTTACCATATTAATACTGACTGCTGAATAAAGGCCATAGGCATATTACATTTATTTTTTAAGGCATAATTCTTATAAAATTATAGTATTTCTTTCATGAGCAACTCTTTAAGATGCTCATTATTTTCGAGGAGACCCTTCTGACTCTGACTATCTGTAACGTGTGAAGGGTGGATCACCCCCACGGCACTTATACCTCACTAGGCCCATTGTGCATCCTCCTAAGATGATAGGCATCTCCTAGTTCGTGAGCCAGCCTACAGATTTGATGTAGTTAAACGTGGCCAAGAGGTACTTCTCTTATGCCGGTGTTAGCCGATACTCGCCGAACACAGATCTTCTAATAAATGAGAAAGATATGCTCGATGGTCTCATCTTCTTGTTCGCACCCTCTACAGAGTGCGGATTCTGACAGACCCATGATATGGAGTTGCCTCCGTACTTGGCAATGACCAGTCAGAATGCCTGTGACTAGGCGCAGTCATAGTCAAGTATTTGTTTGCTGCAGTGTTGTCAGGATAACTTAAGAGCTCCCTGGGAACTCTGCAGTTTCTAGTTTTATCCCATCTTTCCTTGAATTTCACCAGGGAATGTTCTTTAATTAGGTCTGTCACTACCGATTTTGTCAGGCCAATAGAAGGGCCAGGTCTATAAAGTATTTGGTTGGCTGCTTTCTCAGCCAGTGAATCAGCAAGACGGTTACCTTTTGATGTAGCGTGACTTTTGATCCATCTTAAGCCCATTTTATGTTAAGGTTTAAGGATCTGGAGTATATTCCACATCCTGAGCCTTGTTTTGTTTTAGAATCGTCGGTGTAGATATGAATCGTACCTGCCACTTCCGACTCTTCTATTTGTTTTATTATAACTTTATATAGCTTATGGAAGATATATCTCGATGAGATGGAGTCCATGTTCGCTTGGAGCAGTGAAAACGTATCGAGCGCCTCCTGCCAAAAGCTACGTCTCGCCTCAACAGATCCTACATCAGGTTCTATTCCAACCGTGCGGAGCCGTTTCATTGTCATCAGAGCAACCTCCTTGATGTAAATATCAGTGGCAGTGAGACTAAGAATGACTTCCATAGCTCATGGCTCCTGTTATGCTGAGACATGCTGTTCTTTGAAATTGTTCTAGTTTACGGATAGCTGTTAATTTTTGGTTTTTTGGTACCCAGACAACTGCACCGTATATCCCCTGAGCACAACCTCCTTCTCGTCAAGGTCAGCTTGCGCTTCTCCTGGAATCCAGAGAGAAGCTTTGGTGAACTTGGGGAACTCGTCCATCCTTACAACAGCGAGTGTTGCTCCTTCTCATGTTTTTAAGGTTGGTACCTTGATTTTTAGCCATTCCAACATCAGGTCATCGTTGCACGTTACTCTGATGATTTCACCAGAGTACTTCCAAGACCTGAATGTGGTTGGCTTGGTTTTGACAACGATTTTTCTTTCGGTAGTTATCTTACCGTAAGGGTTATCCTTGTCTATTATAGCTACTTTCAGGTGGCTCGTAGCTGCATCCTTGTAGCTTATCCCAGACAGAACTTTAGTGTGAGATCGCGGCCTTTTCTTGTCCCTAGTTGCGTCGTGTTCCTGGCCTCTTGTGGAGTCAAAACTGGCGTCGCTGCCTAAGAACTTGATTAAGCCGCTTTTGTTTATTTTGGAGTCAGGGAGTTTGCTAAAGGTGGCGGTTGCCGTAGCACTGCCTGCCTGCAGCTTATCCCTCTTCCTCCTCTTTGCTTCAGACCCAAAGATTCTCTTGTCTCTCCGCGGCCTGTTACTTGGAGGTGGACTTTGTTGCCCAGGCTCCTTTGCAGGAAGTGAGCGTTGACGTCCATCCTCCTTTTTTTGAGCTGATCGTCGCTGTCCAGTCTTCTGCAGCGGAGTTGGATTTAGTCGTCCAGTCTCCTTTGCTGGAGGTGAGCATTGAAGTCTAGCCTCTTCGGGTTTTTGTATTATTGAATCCATATGGTTCTCACGAAGAGACTCTTTTTCCAATTTAAATTATTACAAACAATTTAGAGAGCGTTTGATTCATTTTTGTTCTAAAAGTTTTTATTTTTTTCTCTTGCTATATCCCATAAATGTTAAATGCCTATTTTTTTATTTCAGAGTTGAAGTTCAATCATCCAGCAGTAGAATTGGAGAAAAAATACCACTTCCTAGCAATCAGTTCCGCTTCAAATTTATATTGTAATATTAAATACAAGTCACTGTTTGGTCGGCCACACCACACACCACCCACACCACACACCACCCACACCACACCACCACACACCACTCCACCACACACCACTCCACCACACATTATACCAAACACCACCACACACCACTCCACCACACACCACTCCACCACACATTATACCAAACACCACCACATACCACACCAACACACCACACTACACCACACACCACACCACCCACCACACCACCACACACCACACATCACACCACATAACACACAGCATACACCACACACACACACAGCATACACCACACACACACACACCACACACACACACCACACACACCACACACACCACACACACCACACACACCACACACACACACCACACACACCACACACACACACCACACACACCACACACACACACACACACACACACACACACACACACACACACACACACACACACACACACACACACACACACACACACACCACACACACACACACACACACACACACACACACACACACACACACACACACACACACACACACACACACACACACACACACACACACACACACACACACACACACACACACACACACACACACACACACACACCACACGACACATTACACACCACACATCACACCACATAACACACAGCATACACCACACACCATACACCACACACCACACACCACACACACACACCACACACACACACCACACACACACCACACACACACACACACACCACACACACACCACACACACACACCACACACACACCACACACACACCACACACCACACACACACCACACACACACTACACACACACTACACACACCACACACACCACACATACCACACACTACACCACACAGTATACACCACACAGTATACACCACACACCATACACCACACCACACACTACACACCACACACACTACACACCACACACACCACACACCACACACACCACACACCACACACTACACACCACACACCTTACACCACACACACCACACACCACACACACACACCACATACACACCACACACCTTACACCACACACCACAAACACACCACAAACACCACCACACACCATACACCATACACCACACCACACACTACACACCACACACTACACACCACACACTACACCTTACACCACACACACCACACACACCACACACACCACACACACCACACACACACACACCACACACACACACCACACACACACCACACACACACCACACACACACCACACACACACCACATTTACACCACACACCACAAACACACCACAAACACCACCACACACCACACAACACACAGCATACACCACACACCCACCACACACCATACACCATACACCACACCACACACTACACACCACACACACTACACACTACACACCACACACACTACACACCACACACTACACACCACACACACTACACACCACACACTACACACCACACACACTACACACCAGACACCACACACCACACACTACACCTTACACCACACACACCACACACACCACACACACCACACACACCACACACACCACACACACCACACACACCACACACACCACACACACCACACACACCACACACACACACACCACACACACCACACACACACACACACCACACACACACACACCACACACCACACACACACACCACACACACCACACACACACACACCACACACACACACCACACACACACCACACACACACCACATACACACCACACACCTTACACCACACACCACAAACACACCACAAACACCACCACACACCCAACACACAGCATACACCACACACCCACCACACACCATACACCACACCACACACTACACACCACACACACTACACACCACACACTACACACCACACACACTACACACCACACACCACACACTACACCTTACACCACACACACCACACACACACACACCACACACACACACACCACACACACACACACCACACACACACACCACACACACACACACCACATTTACACCACACACCACAAACACACCACAAACACACCACAAACACCACCACACACCACACAACACACAGCATACACCACACACCCACCACACACCACACCACACACTACACACCACACACACTACACACCACACACACTACACACCACACACACTACACACCACACACACCACACACACCACACACACACACACACCACACACACACACACACCACATTTACACCACACACCACAAACACACCACAAACACCACCACACACCACACAACACACAGCATACCACACACCACACCACACACTACACACCACACACACTACACACCACACACACCACACACACCACACACTACACACCACACACCTTACACCACACACACCACACACCTTACACCACACACACCACACACCACACACACACACACACACACACACACCACACACACCACACACACCACACACACCACACACACACACACCACACACACACACACACACACACACCACACACACACCACACACACCACACACACACACCACACACACCACACACACCACACACACCACACACACACACACACACACACACCACACACACCACACACACCACACACACACACACCACACACACACACACACACACACCACACACACACACACACCACACACCTTACACCACACACACCACACACACACACCACACACACTACACACCACACATGTATGCCTCAGTCTGAGATAATGAAGGGAAGGGAAATAAAAAAAAGTTTTATCATATTTATTTATGAATATATAAGACAGTAAAAGTATAAATATATAATAAATTGTACAATTTAAAAATAAACATACATAACATTAGTTACTTTTAATTTTAGACCCTCAAGCGGGATAAAAACTTACGTAAAAGTGCGTCACTTGTGTTTGTGGTGTGTGTGTATGGTGTGTGGTGTTTGTGGTGTGGTGTGTGTGTGGTGTGTGTGTGTGGTGTGTGTGTGTGTGTGTGTGTGTGTGTGTGGTGTGTGTGTGTGGTGTGGTGTGTGTGTGGTGTAAGGTGTGTGGTGTGTGTGGTGTGTGTGTGTGTGTGTGTGTGGTGTGTGTGTG